TTTCTTTAAATTTACAAAGAGCTACTAAGATAAAATGTTATTTGAACTATTTTGAGTACATGAAATCAAGTTTTTTTATTAGTTTTTAATTTATAGAATGAAGTTCCTGCAAATTCGTGTTTTTTGGATTGAGGGATTACTTGATTAAAGTGGCTTGGATTTGTTCTAACTGAATTTCTCCAACAAATTTTCAATCTCTCATGGTATAATTCTGCATTTAGCTTTTTCCAATTGTCCGGGCAAAATCATTATTGTTCCGCTGACCTATTGTAGAAGTTTCCATAATTACCTGTCGGGGGATCAGTGTTGCAACTGGACATATAAAAGATTACGCAGTGAACTACTGGACTTATAAAAGTTTGTAAGTCCAATGAAAATGACTGAACTTAATACAGTGTCCAACCTGGGGAAGGAGGAAGTTTAAGATTAGGGTTAGGGTTCAGGTATAATATTACACCAAAATCTAATGAAAAAATTACACGTTGTCGGCGTAAGTCAAACATCTTTATTACGGCCCGGTATATACGGATCCTCTTTATAACGAATGGGATTTTTGGAACCGTCATATAGGACACATATATTCGTTATATACCGAATTTACTCTATAACAGCCAAAAATTTTTGTCTCACCCCCTGTCAAAAAGATCTTATTTTTCCCAGTACATTTTATATAACGAATATAACGAATTCATGTTAAAATTTAAAGTTCGTTATACCCGGTGGTCTGTTTAAAAATCTCACCTTATTGATTAATTTATCCAGACTCATTTTATATATTTATACCATTTTGCTTATTCAAAGGATTGTGAATAGATTGTGTGCGATGCTTGTAAAAGCTAGAAGCACCAACGTTATATATAGCGATAGGCATTACTATGCGAATTTGCTCTTTATTAAGTGATTTATTGGGATGTGCTCTATTATTACCTGGTGGTGTGACATCTTCGGTAGAAAATTCATAATTATGGTGGCAGTGAAGTTAATCGGTTCTAGTTCATGTCAAGCTTACCCGAAGTGCAGTTTAACTATTTCAATAACATGCGAGTATGATCGGTGTCAATGAAACAATGCCATGGCAATCAATGCCTTTATTAATTAATGATAAAATTAACAAAATTAGCATTATAAAAAATTAGGTCATTATAAAACATTATGTCATTATAAAAAAACCGAATCTATCGTAAAAAAAACCCTAAGGTAAAGATAATAATAACTAGTATTTTTTTTAGTGTAAATCATCCGGACTTAATCTCCGCTGAATCGAGAGGAGTATCTGTATGTGTAATCGTAAGCGTTTGACCAATTAAAAGAGTAACATCTCCAGGAATATTGGCTTTAAAAGGAGCAGTGCCAGGCGGTGTGATAACTACACCTAGCTGTGCGAAGGTGAAGTCAATGAAGCCACCAATGTCAGCATGATAATTACTAGGATCAGTGTCTGTGAAGCCTTTATTGAGCTGTCCTTCAATTTGAACATGGGTATTATCAACTTGAGTGAATTTAATTTGGCCGTCGAGTTTGTCAAATTTGGCAACGCCTACATCACCGACGGCACGACGTACGGGTGTTGCGTGCGAGAACGTAAGAAAGATTACGAGTAGAGACAAGGTTACCAAAGAAGTAAGAGTTGTACTT